GTCAATTCTCAAGTTTAATAATTCCAGACTGAACGTTCTCATAGCCACACTCTTATGGCACATCATTAATTTTTTTTCCAGCTGTAAAACTTCATCTTTTAGATTCTGGTGTATTGTTGTGCAACAAATCTCAGTGTTGTAATTTGTGACTAGACTGTGGATAAAATCACCAAGTTTTTGTTTGTTTTCTAGTTCTCTTCCTGTTTACAGCTGACCATGCCTCACCGCTTCTGTCTTTTGTGTTTTTTGATTGGCTACCTGGAATTGTTTCCAGCCTATTTGATTGGTCCCTATGTGCATCCATTCCCTTTACTATATCTGCACAAATATATATCCCTACTAGAAGATCTAGGTCTGCAAGAAACACCAGTCCCTTGCAACACTGGACAAGAGGTTAACAGAATCATTCTTTCATGTTCTTGCCATGCTTATATATCAGGCACTATGTTGGGACGTGGTGGCACTGCGGGCTAAACCGCAGGAGCCTGTGCTGCAGGGTCAGAAGACCAAGCAGTCGTAAGATCAAATCCATGTGACAGAGTGAGTGCCCATCGCTTGTCCCAGCTCCTGCCAACCTAGCGGTTCGAAAGCATGTAAATGCAAGTAGATAAATTGGGCCCACCTCGGTGGGAAGGTAACAGCGTTCCGTGTCTAAGTCGCACTGGCTATGTGACCACGGAAGATTGTCTTCGGACAAAACGCTGGCTCTATGGCTTGGAAACGGGGATGAGCACCGCCCCCTAGAGTCGAACACGACTGGACAAAAATGGTCAAGGGGAACCTTTACCTTTACCTTTATGTTGCAAATTATTATTATTATTATTTTTAATGAATCCCTCTGTCAAAACAGTGAATAATTTAAAAGAAAGGGCACAAACACAAGAGAGTGAAAGAGAAAGAGAGCGAGAAAGAGAAAGAGGGAGAAGGTAAAGGATAGCATGTGGTAAGGACAGAAAGAGTATCAAAGAGAGAGAGAAATTGCTATGACAATATGCTACAGACTACCCATACAACTGGAAGACCCGAATAACTGTCTCCTGGAATGGACACCAAGACATTCACAAAGAGAAACCATTGTATCATTGAGGGAATTCAACACTCGTAACATCTGTTGGAAGTCTGGCTTTGCCAATAATGGAGTATCTTATGGCAAGTTCATCTCCCAGAAGGTGGAAATAGAATCACAGATCTGCTGTCTCGATCTTAACCTTGAGCAACAAGGAAGAACTGATTGATGAAGTGAAAGCGGTGGTAACCTTCAAGGAAAGTGTGACCACATTGTCTTCAAATACATGAAGCAGGGGGTGGCAAAAACTGACTACAGTTTGATGAGCGCCCTGGCAATGAAGTCCAAGAAGCTCAGAGAGAAACTAGGTGGATTTCTGTAGCTAAATATTGTTATCAGAAAAACAATTCAAGAAGTATTGAATTTTTGCGCTCTTTTAAATGAAGTGGCAATTACAACGTTCTCTCATGATGAGGCACATCTAAAAAGACATTTTAATAAGAGATTTTATTGGATTTTTGTGTGATATGGTGCTCCTTTAGTTTTACCCCTTTTATCTGAGTCTATTGATCTTGTTGATTTGAAAATAATTTTATCTAGTTGTAATATTGGTTAATACTATTTGTTTGTTACTTTTAGATATTTTATGGTTACAACTATTGATTACACATTTTAAATGTGTACACTGGAAGCTGCTTTAAAAGGATTTGACTGCAGCCTATAAAATACCTGAAAATAACCAATCAATCAGTCAGTCAGTCATGAAGAAGTACAATGCAAGGATCCCAAATAAGCAGGCAAATGCTCATTTTGTCAAATGCTGATCATCGGCTTTAAAGAAAGGGTGGATGCTGAGTAGTTACATGGCATTGTTCACAGATGGTCCCAGTTTCAAGACCTAAGCTGTCATGCTAAAACAGGAGATAGACCACCATTTAAAATTTGAAGACCTTCAGTCAATAAAATGCAGATTGATCGAGCAATAGTCTGGTTGAATAGAGGGTATCATCCTAGGTTTCTTTATGCTGATTCACTCAGGATCTCATTCATCTCTTCCCTTTTTAGGGTAAAGAATAACTTAAGCCATAACAGTGTGGTGGTGCTGAATCTTTATGACTTTGAACACCTCCAAGTGAGGGTATTAAAATTGCATTGCTGTGATAACGATATTCGTCAATGAGAGAGGACATGTCCAAAGTTCCGTTCAGTCTTGGTGCTCATTTAAACACATTAAATAATGTAACATGTTGAATTTCTGGGATGAATGAAATCCAGAACTATTTGAAAAGTAAATCCAAATGACAATTACACTGACAGTATTTCTCAGTTTTTAGTTTTCTTGCAACTACATCTGTAAAATAGCTTTCATACATGTTGAGGATGTTTCGCCATGTTCGTAGATGGCTAAGGCCACTCTGTGCAAGCTGTTGAAAATGGCTCACTAGTGGCAACCCATCTATCTTGGCCACAATGCTTGCAGGTCCTTGTCACATGATTTAAAGTCCTGGTGTTGCTAATCTTCACACCCATGATCTCTAGTGGCTTCCTGGTGACTCTGGGTATATGGTGTTTGGCTGCTGAGTTGTATGGAAAGCTTTGTCATATCCCATGTGTGAGATATGGGCTCAAAAATGGAGGAGCTGGTGAAAGAGAGCCCTGAACCAGTCAGACTTCAGACTCTACAGCCATCATAACCTAACACACCTGCATGTGGGGCCCCATCCTATACTGACACCACTAAGGCTTAATCCTAGCACTGTGGCAGGCTGCCCACCTCTAGCAGCACAAGTTAGGCATCTTTCAGTCTCGAGAGACTATGGTAACGTGCTCTGTATGGAAGACTTGGAACAGCATCTAGTGTGGCTGAGGAAGCCGATTCAAGAGTGGCAATCCCTTCCACACTGGAGACAAATCCAAACTGTCCCCTGTCCAGCTCCCTGATTTTGCTGCTTTTGTGACTTCCTCTTTGCCTCGCCTTGCTGGACAAGGGTCTCTTCAAATTGCATGTCCTTGTATCGCAGCTGTGGTTTCCCTCTGGGGCGATTTCCCTGCACTAATTCTCCATACAGGAGATCCTTTGGAATCTGCCCATCAGCCATTCTCACGACGTATCCAAGCCAACGGAGACATCGCTGTTTCAGTAATGTATGCATGCTAAAAATTCCAGCTCATTCTAAGACTCCTCTATTTGGAACTTTGTCCTGCCAGGTGATACCAAAAATCTGTCGGAGGCAATGCATATGGAAGCACAATGATCTTATAAACTCTCAAGTCAAATGTCAGCTTGAGAGATACTTGGAGGGGAAGAATTTGGAGCCTGGTGGACAGACCTGATCTAACAGGTTAAGAGGCTTCCATGCAGCTCCAGGGAATCACTGGAGCATGGTGCCCACTGAAGGAATCTGCATCTTCCTCCTTGTTCTGCCAGCTGGGCAATCCAGATGCACCCTGAAAGGGAAACAAGTGCTAATTTGGCACAAATTGCACACTTCCTGTTACCTTAGCAGCACAAAAAAGTACTCCTTGTCTTGATCTTGATGAAAAGTTTCGCATCCTCTGAGAATTCTTTGCCAAAGTGAATTTAGACTACCTTAATTAAAGAGAACAGAAGATTTAATTGGTAGCCTTTACCTCCTTTCTGCACTGGTTGTCTGTAACATTTTACCATGTAATCAGGGGAAAGATGGCGCTTGCAAGTAACAGAGAAATGATTACAAGGTCCTGGCACATTCCTGTGTCAGTGATTTAGCCTTTTACTATATATTTTTTTTCTTAAACGACAACATAAACATAAAATACATAAACCAAAATACAAATCGACTGTGTTCTCCACCACCATAGTCGGGACCTCTTGCAGTAATCCTCTTCTTCCATGTAACTATTATGTTGGTTCTGATGATGAAAAGCACTTCCCTTCTGAGGAAGAAAACTAGGTATTGCTTGTTCTGTGTGAACAAACAAAGGATTTCAATAGTGATTGACTCACATAAGGAAGTGACAGAGCTAGAAAGAATTTCTTGTCTTATCCAATTTGCCTGTAGTCTGAATAGGATTTAAGTAAGGCATATATCATGAGCATGTATCTCTGGTAGATATGATATCGCTAGGAATAGCCAAAATTTCCACATTAGACGTTGTTGTGCATATGCCCACCAACATTTGGGCATTAAAGGATTATATGTGATGATATAATGAGAAAGGGAGCCTCCTGAGGCAGAAAACACATTTGATCCTAGCATGATCTTTTCTCATGGCGGCAAACTGTTTTACTTGTGTTTGTGACTGATCACCAGCAGGCAAATATGACAGAGTTTGGACAGAATTATGTCACTGGAAGCACAATGTACTATCATTTTCTAATTGCAAAGCTGGCATCTCATATAGTTTGGCACTATGCTGAGGCCTATATATGGGAATAAATCTAAGCTGTAACCTAAACTGTCAAATTAGTATATTCTTGTCCCTTACAGACTGAATCTTTGTGCTCAGAGATATCTTTTGACCAGCAAGGGAAAGTTTTCTCAAATGCTTTATACTTATTTCAGCCACAACAAGATGAGGTGAGATGTTCAGAGATGGACTATTTGCATGAGTATCTTAAGCATCAGTGCTTTTGGGGAACTCCTGCGCAACCAGAGATTGTATTGCTTTTTCTTCAGAACAAACAGCAGACTGAGGGGTGAAGAGTAGTAGAAAAAGTGGAGTACACCCTACCTACCCTTCATGCCTTTTCCTTAATAAAATTAATTCTGCTTCCCAATTGCAGCTATATGCAGTTTGGATTTGCTTTTCTACAATAAATCTTGCAAAATGATACGTCACTCAATTACCTTTACTGATATCATATGATTTCACTTATATGTATAGACATTTGTATAGCCTTGATTGGGAGTGTGAATGTTTTTGCCCCACTGGGAGGAAGTTCAGCAGACCACAGTGCCGTTCATAGTGCACAAGGCTCCAGGGAGAGCAGTTTCACTTCTGCAGAGAGGCCAACTTCCCTTTTAGCATCCAGCTGAGTTGGGGCTGGCAAGGACGCGAAGAAGGTGCTAAGCAGTGATAACAGCAGCTTCTTTTCATCCTGTGCACCTTGTCCATAGAAAGTCAGCTGGGACGTCTTGAATCGCAACCATCCTGATTTCTCTGAGAGATCCTCTTCCTCTCTTCTTGCTCTTTCACTCATCTCTGCAGAAAGGGAGGAGTAAGCTCTGCCCCAGAAAAGGAGTGGTGATGGCAAGCAATTTGGGTAAGTGATGCTGCTATTGCACTATAGCTGGAGGAACTGTTTATTGGCCAAGCAAGAAGGAAAGACCTGCTGAACAGGAAATCAGTCCCATTGAACTTAATGAGATTTATTGCTAATGGATGTGTGTCAGTACAATGTGTTCTCCACATGCATCCATGAGCAGTGCATACTCAGAAACAGTTCACATACTAGGTGTTTAAGGGAAAGGACATTACTTTCCTATAAGCAGAGCTCAGAAGAATTCTTTATCTTGATTACAAATCCCGAAGCCCCACAACTAGGACAGACAATGGCCCTGCTGACTGGGAAGCCTGGGAGGAGTACTCTAGAAAAAGAGATATTTTAAAAGATATGTCTGTAAGGCAAACGAAAGGTGAAAACAGGCAAAATCATTACTAGGGGAAGGATTTTTATGACATGTCATTTTTTTCCTGCAACCTATGTTTGAGCTTATGGGTAGGTTTGAACATGTTTATAAGTAATCTGGTAAGGAAGGCTAGATTACTCATAAACATGTTTGAATTTGCTTATGGGTTCAAATGTAGGTTGCAGAGAAAATGTGAAATGTCATAGAAGTCCTTCCCCTAGCCATTACCATAGAATGAACTTACAATGGTTTCCAGGTCCATTGTGTCCCCTCCCATAGCTTATAGTCTAGCCTGTCTCACCATAGCTAGTTGAGAAGCACACCTAGAAAGTGACCTGATGTGCTTGGCCGGTGAGGCATCGATCCATCATTTCTCACTCCCTACCTCACTGCGGTCCTCCAAGACATCATACTGTAACTCTGACATCCAAATGAAAAGCAAACAAGCAACAACAACTAAACAGGATATAAAAATTAAGCCTTGATCCCAGGTGGAATCTGCCAAAAGTTTTCTGTTGTCTTTTGCCTGGAAACATACAACTGGCTCATATCTTAAGGGGGAAAATCCGGAGGGAGCAACAGACCAAGCTGAATGATTAGCCTCTGTAAGCTTGAAATCCCCACATGGCCATGAAACTTAACGGCTGATATTGGTTCAGGAATGTTATCTCTTAAAGTAGTTGACCTCACAGTGTGTTGTGAGAAATAAATAGGAAAGAGGGAAGTCACGCATGCCACCGTGCATTCATGGAAAGAAAGGCAGGGTCAAAAAGTAAACATTAATAAATAATACTTATTTTGGTTAGTGTAGGTAGTTTATTCAGTGGAGTTTTAAATAATACTTATTTTGGTTAGTGTAGGTGGCTTATTCAGTGGAATACAATTATACAATTAACCAGAGAATGAAGATTGCCAATGGAAATCTACTACATAACTCTTGTTGACACTTTTCAAGCTTTTTCTATTGCTGTCAATTTTAGTCATTTATCAACAAATTATTTGATAAGAGAACTGAATAACAGTCAATAGTATGTAATTTACAAGCAACATTCTGAGTGGGAAGATTCTTTAAATACTTTAAGAATCAGTATGACAATATTCCCATGATTTTGCTGTGACTGTTATTTTGAACATTCTGCCTGAATGTTGCAGGCTGTCCCAAATATTATGCCTCCTTTTGATAGCAGTAGGACAACATGTAAATAACCTCTACAAATTCCCCATCTATTTGTGGGAGATGAAATATGATGAACAATTTCAGCTTATTTCTTGGTAGGAGGAGAAATCCTCCTGTAATTTTTCAGACCTAGGGCTCACCACCAATAATAGTGGCAGCAGCACAGATTTTTCTCTTTCTCTCTCTCTCTCTCTGCCCCCAACCCCAAGACTTTTAAATTTTATTTTTGGAGTTGCTGCTACAGCTGGCAGCACCAACGCAAGCTTTGGCAGCCTGGTGACAATTTGGCATCCTTGACAATGCCGTGAACTAACGTGTTAATGGAAATGGTTGTCTTTTTACTGCAGATCTCTCTCCCTGTGACTCTAGAAGTGCCATATGAGAAATCTCCCCACAGAGTGCTAGAAATCAGAACAGTTGTTCCGAGGAATATGGAAGGCTCATTCTCGCTGACATAGGACGAGACATAGGTTTCAGTTGGGCTGTACAAGTATGGTGGCCATGTATCCTGTTTTACTGAGGACAGTCTACAATTTGAATGGCTGCCAGAGGACAGTTTCTTCCTCCCTCCCCTGGAATGTATCCTTGATGTGAAGAGCCACCTTGGGTCCTTTTCAAGGAGAAAGAAGGAGTAAAAATATTTTTAATAAATAAAATAAAATTAAAAAATCCAAACCACATTTAAAGACAAGGCACCATAAGGAGGAAAATGAGGGACCCTGAAGTTGCCCATAACCTTTGTAAATATATTTCACAACACATAACTTTGTAATACACATTTGTAATACATATTTAAATATGCATGCCGAGGGTTTTTAAGATTGCTGGCTGAATTGGGAATGGAATTATTGATATGGACAAAGGAAAGTGTATATAGAGTTCAGTCATTCCTACTCAATTCAGGGTTTTCAAAGAAATGTGATATTTTTCATTATGGGCCCAACACTGCCTGGAAATATGGTGGGGACTTACATTTGGTGGTCTCTCCCACCCCCCACCCCCAGTGTGATATTGTTGTGTGCTAACAAGTAGCTTCCATCTTATGGCAACCTTGTGAATCAATGATTTCCAAAAGCTCCTGTCATGCCCTCTGAACTAAAGATGTAGGTTCTTTTCTTGAGCCAATCTAATTTTTCCACCTTCCTCTTTCCACTTTTACTAGCATTATTGTCTTTTCCAATGAGTCTTGGGTTTCTCATGATATGTCCAAAATACTATAGCTTTGGTTTAGGGATTTGAACTTCTAGTGAGAGTTCAAGGTTTTTACATATGGTGTAAGTGCTAAGACCTGACTGTTTTTGGCTCACTTGCCACTTTGGGAAATGGATGTTATGATACTGATTACATCTCTGGGCACCACAGAGGATGTAGCAGTAACTAAAGATATCTCCTTTTCCTGAGGATAAAAATAAGCTAATACACACTGACATTTCTTTACCTAGACCATGGTCTGAAGAATTGTAGCTGTGAACAAGCTTAGTGCTGAAAGAATGGTTATTTATGGAAACTGGTCCTGTGGCTGTAAACCTATTCAACTTGATTCTCTCAAATTGAAATAGAGAGAACTCCATATAAGATTTTGCCAGATTGTTAGCACTATTCCATTTCTTTTTACTTCTTTTTTGCTGAATAGGTGAATGAAAGTGAATGAAAATGGTAACTTGGTTTGCCACAGGCCTAAATTAATTTTCTGGTTCCAAGGATTAAGCATGCATCTCTTTGCAACCTAGTTCAATCTTAGTTTGCTGGGTGGTCCTATGGAGGCCAACTGCAACTCACCACAGATCTATGGGTCAACTCACCACAAATTATCAAACTCTCACAAAACTAGGGTTGCCATGTCTTAGGAAATCCAGCAACTAAGGCTGCTGAAGACCCAAAGAAGTGCTATGCTCCTCCAGTTCTCTAGCTAAGGACACAAATCTCAAGACATGTAGCACCAGAAGAGGAAAACTGATAATTGTAAATAACTTGGCTTTAAAGCCCTGACATCTGTCTGCATCCATTCCCCACAGAGGCCAGGGCTCACTACATCAATTCAAAGGTATTTGAAAGTATGTGTTCCTGCCTCACCGCTGTGAGACATCACAAGGTCCTTCCCCTGGGATATCACAAGGAACTCCAGCCCCCACCCTCCAATCTGAGGTCTGGGTTCCGAAATCTGTAGAAATGGTTTGCTACTGGCAGCATCCACAATAACATTCTTTAGATCAGGGTCATTGGCAGCCTTGCCAAGTGAGGATACTTTCACAAGAACTACTATCCACCTCCAAAATGCTCATCAGAATTGGGACTCAATATTAAAAACTGGGACACTTACATTCACAAAAAAATATACATTGTTCAAACACAACAAAACAGGTATATTAATGACATCATAATATTAAGATCATATTAAATTAAACAGCTATTTTTAAAAAACACTGCTAAAAATAAAGTGCCAAACAGTTGACAAGCCTTTCTTGGAAACCAACCAATCCCCCACAACCTGCCTGAATTAAAATAAATTAATAAAAATAATTCCTAGTTATTGTTCTTGCCTGATGGCAGAAGAATAACTAGGAAGGGATCAGCGTGGTTTCCCTTGGAGTCCCTTTCCCAAAAATGTGAGGAGGCCCCTCAGTGTCACCTGGTTACCTCAGACTTCTTTTTCTGTCAGCAGCTCTGTGTGGCTAGGAGACTCAACCACAAAGGTGTGGGCTAGTCATGTACAGTACATCCTTCACAGGGACTCAATCAATACTTCCACCTTCTAGCAGCATGCCCTCTGCGTAATAAATTATGCTTCTGTTGCCCCCTGGATGGATCGTGTAAACATGATGCATGCCATGCAGATGCTATTCCAGAAAAACAGTGGCCATTCATGGAGCATCAGATTTAAATTACAATGCCTCAAACTAATGTTCATACAACTAAAGATCAGCTTTTTCTGAATCTGAGAATGACACTTGGTCTCTGATCTACAGTTTTGCCCCATAGGCAAGTCTTTTAAATCTGAGAAAATATAAGCTTGAATTTTTAGTTGGCCCCTATTTACTGTGACTGCCTTTCATACATTTAGCTGTTAACCCTCTCAACAGCAGTTTTAAAAAATGGATAGGCAGGCATTGTGCCAGGTCAAAGACCTACGAATCTGTCTCTTTGACTCTTTCTTTAAAACTAGAGATGCATGAACATTTTCCTCTGGAGCAAAAATTAACCTTTTGACAAAAGAATTATAACAGAAGGCTTTTTAAGGTGAATTCTTTAATTCTGTGTGCTGACTCAAGGGACAAAGGGCTAAAATGTTTCCTTGTGACTAAATGAATGCAGCTGGCATCAGTGAGTAACTGCAACTATAATATTAAGTAAGTATTATTGTATATTTATGGTGCAAAAGAACTGGTTTTGTGGCGTAGGAAGATCTACGCCTGAAAAGATTTAGAAAGGAATTCTCAATGAGAACTGGATGGAGCT